GTTGTGCTTCCTAATCAAATGGATCTGGTATCAAAATAGAAACACTTTAGAGGGAAGCCAGGTGTCAAATTATAAGCTGGAGATAATTGCGAAATTCGCCGAGTAGTGTAAGGTGAAGCATTTTTATCCCTTAATCTCTTTATATACTCCTAACTGCTTTATTTCGGTATAAGGCACAATTGAGGATGAAGAACAAAGATGGGGATAGTGTAGGTGATGGGGTATAAAAATCTGTAATTCACAACCCGTGTCTGCAGGTAATTGACCTCCGGTGAAGCTTGCTCACAAGTCATACATACCACTACGCTGATATGATGCGGAAACAGTTAAAATAAACGATTCTATAAAGGACGATTAAAGATCCAGCCTGCTGAACAATTTGATAGCTAGTTTCAAGTCTGAAATGAGCCTAATTAGACAAAGCAACTCCTAAAATTTGGATATTACTGAACAAAACTAATAGTCTTATAGTAAACAAAACAGAAGAAATAAGCGTAATCTACAGCCACTATAAATACTTCTTGTGTAATGGACATGATTGTACACTAAACTCTCCACATGTTTGCCAGCATGACTTGAGAGTCTTTGATGCTAGAGTGCACGATGGTAAGCTTCTTCACAAAGAAGTTTTGGCCTCACGTTGGGATTGGCCTGACCTCATCTTTTGACCTTGGTCGTAGTATTAGGGCAACCTAGGAGACATTCCGAATATAACAAGTCAATGGTTTGTGGCTAGAAATAATCACAACCACGATGTCAGAGGATGCAATTAGGGATATATTTATTGAAGTCGCTATTATACCACATCCAAATTACATAGACGCATTCAGATCAATTCTAGCATAAACGATAGCATTAAACGCGTGAAAATCCCTCGAGTTTATTATCTAGTTATTTGCCAATCTGATGGATGTAACCCAGGTTCCTGTTTATACTTAATATTGGGGGCAGACTTATTATATTTTTATAAATGAGAATTTTTCGAAATTATCACTTATTCGAGAATATGAAATTATTCAGGCTAAGTTGATTAAGCTGATTTTAAAAATGGCAGTTGAGTCTTTTCACAACAAAATGAGTAAGTCTCATGGTTCCATTGTGTGAAAATATCTGCTAAAAATCCATTAAGACTGCCTAAGCAACCTAGGGGACTAACTTTCAGATAAAAATTTGTTGGAAGTTTCGAAACGCACTCACATAGAAAATAAATAATGCCGTCGATTGCAATAGCAATCACTAAGATTACTGTAGATATGATCTGTATAAGGTCTGGCTTGCTTTACAATTCACATTTGTGAATGACCCATTTTCACCCTTGTCTATGTGGCGAAGTGAGGAAGGTTCGCTACGATATTCGTGCTCCAGTTCCGAACACAGAAAGGTCTGTTAATGGGACCAATGCAAGATGGAATCTGCAGTCCATTAAGAGACAGAGTTACGTGAATTTCAATGTTATTTTTTATTTTGTGGAAAATAATTCTCTATGATTATCTCTTCAATCAACTTACGAGGACAGGGTGATAAATTTCTTATTCAAGTTAATGCTTGTTTTAAATGCATGTTTTTTTTATTTTCCTGTCCTGCCTAGCTTAGAAGAGGAGAATTGTTCAGAGTTATGGTAATGTTACTCAGGTGGATTCGAAAGTGCCTTACTAGAACGATTCAACTCACCTGACGTCCAGAGGAGGAGGATTCCACCAGTCTGGCGGGACGGCGCAGGGAGTCGGCCAGAAAAAGTAGACCAGTCTTAGCGTCCAGTGAAAAGTAGCCATTTTCATTGCCTGCTCGAATCGCGTAGGTGACCAGACCGTTGTCATCAGCGTCTGGATCTACTGCCCGGATGTAGGCAAGTTTGTGTCCGATAGTCTCGCTTGCTGCAACTGCCAACATGTTTTCCTTGGCGTTGGGGCTGACGAAAACGGGTGCATTATCGTTCACATCATCCACGATAACTGTGACTGTAGTGGTCGAAGTGTGCTGTACAGTAGCTGACCCGATCTTGCCGCCTACCGGCACCGAACCTCCCGGACCGTACTCTGAAAGGTCGCGAGCCAATACACGAAAGATGTAATGTGACCGTATTTCGCGGTCCAGAGGGCGTCGTGTCATCAAGACGCCTGAGTTTTGATCGATCTTGAATGGCAACGAGGCCGTCACGGAAGGACCTGGAGTGACACCAGCTGAGGAGCTGGCGACCGCCAGATCTGTCGACTGGTCGTCGGGAGGACCGATCAGGGCATAGGAGAGCCTACCGTTCGCCAGAAGAGGCGAGTCAGCATCACGAGCCGTCACTTCGCCAAAGCGGGTGTTGCGTGGCTCGTTCTCGCTGACGTGAAAGAGGTAGCTGTCACTCAAAAATTGTGGTGGGTTGTCGTTGACATCTGTTATAGTGAGCTGAAAAAAAATTAGGATTTAGTCGCTATCGCAACTGTCACTAGACCTTGAATAAGTGCTGTTAAGTGATGATGGACTGATAATTGAATTTTATGACAATCATGTGAGTAGGTCTCATGATACCATTGCATTTTATAAAGCATATTCATCCATGATAGATTGTCGCTTCTTCCTTGTATTGGTCTCATCAGCACTCCAGGCAGGAAACGAACCCAAGTTATGCAATTTATAATCTCGACAAGCTCCCACATTCCACACTGCCACGGACGCCAGATAGTCACAGGATAGATGTGAATTCCAAGGCAATCCTAGCAAGCCTGTGATTTCGGATTTTTAAAAATGTCTATTTGCCATCACCATCGGCTATATTACTTATTGTCAGATTGAGTAGATTTTGAAATGACCAGTAGATATTGAATAAGAAGTGCTATTCAATGTCTGATAGTTTCGGAACCTACTCACTCGGAATATAAGTAATCTAGTCAATTGTGACATAAAATGCAAATTTGCTCTATCGGCCATCCTCCTACAAAGTGTGATGTGGAAGAGGCCTGGCTGGTCTATGACCCACCGGCATCTATGGCATTGTATGATAATAATAACATGTCAAAATTGTAGGCTAAGCCGAACTAGGTAAAAACTGCAGTTCACCCTGGATGAGAATGCCTCTTACAAAACAAGGCTATGTGATATTCGATGGCATTGTGAGACCTACTCATATGAATGTGGCAAAATTCATCTTTAAGTCCTTCATCATATTTTTCTGCAACTATGCCTCTTCATCAGACATCTCTTATTAGTCATAACCTTATTGTCTTCATTTCCTCCAAGCCTTTGCTAATACTGGGAAAAAATTAATTTAGCAATAACCATTACTTGAAGCGAGTGTCAATCAGATTTGCTTGTGCTGTTCAGTATGGACTAAGAGCAAGCATCACATAAAAAATGAAGGGTGTCTGTCTATTAATCAGAGTTCTTCTTCTTATTTGCTCAATAACTCCTTGACACTTATTGAGTGCATGCAGTTTTTGAGGTGAGATTGGCAACGGTGGTTAAGTGGACCATCAAAAATATGTAAGATAGTTTGAATCTCAAATTTGCCTTCACAATTGGCTTAACTTCCACTTTTTCATAAAGTGGGATACTAGCTTGACTCCGCCTGCAGCCTGAAAAGCTGTATATTTCCTACAATACAGGCTTTTAGGGAATTATGCAGCTTGGAATGCAAATTTGGAGGCAGATAAATACCTTTTACATCATAACATGCAGGTTGGCCCCAGAAAATAAACAGTGTTCAGGACAGCAACATGTGACTTAGAAAAAGATATTAGAGCCCTTTTTGGGGAAATCATGAGTGGAGCATCATATGAAGAGCCGAAATTTCGCACAAAAGCAAATCAACTAACAATGTATGTGATTACTCTGGTGTGGCATGCAAAATAGCGAGAAAAATAGAAAAACATCTCCAAGTAGTGGAAGGGAAGATACACCGGATCACATATTGCCAGGGGAATTTCACTTTTTCACTCTTAAATTGAGATACCAAATCGAGATCAACTTAATAAACGCCATTCGAAAAACTAAAAATATGATGTAAATCCGGTATTTGTAAGATCTTTCGAAAGGGAAGAGAGATATACGGCAAGTAGCAAAATCAGGACAGTTTAAATAAAATAGAAGAAGATTGAGACAAATGAATTTGCTTTCTGCAGTCAAATCCAGGAAATCTCATCCGAATGGTGATAAATGCCAATTGCTGACAATGAACGAGACACTATGATAAAAGTATAGCGAAATAACTAGTTTTAAGGCATACAAAAGAAAATTGAAAAAAAAGTCATAGCAGGACTGCCTTATGAAATACAAGTCTAAGGTGATTTTTAGTCGAGTTTTCTCCCAACACCCAAACTTCTGGTGCGTTGAACATATTCTGCCGGTTCCAGTGCCTATTTGCATGATAAAATTATTATTGAGGCCGTATTGGTGGACACATGAAATAATATGTTCTTGTGCTATTAAGGGTTAGCGACGTGTGTAAATTGCCATACGCTCATGAACGATCAACAACAGCAAAAACAACACTAGCAACAACCCTGCCATCTATGATAGTCTCACCTGGAAAGTATTGATAGAATACAACAGTATTTAGTTTGGCGCAAAAAAACTGTCTTTAACATAAATGTGAGTTAAAAGAGACACGCAACGCCTTAAAGAGTACAACAAGTGTACGACAGGGAGAAGCACTAGGACTTAATTTTTCATGGTTTGGCAGCCCTAGACTTTTGTATTTGTAGTCATTGTAAGTTTGTTTCAAAACAAACAGTAATCACTAAATAAGAACCTTAAAGTGATTGGAATATTTCTCCACAAAGTTATGAGTTTGTCTAACGATGTCATTGAAGTTTGAAATTAAAGTCCAGCCTCAATGAAAAAAACATTTTGAGAGGCAAGGTTACGTAAAATTTAATGGCCTACTTATTGTATTATAGTCTTTAAATCACCTAAAGAGACCTAGGGTAACTAAGTTATTTTTAACCTTGGCAAAATCTAAGTCATATTACATTCTGGATGAGATCGCACTTTTAAGCATTTCATTGAATACAAATGCCCTAACAACCAAACGACAATTTGAGAATAGAAAACCATGAATGGTGGACGAAATGTTGTAGAGACTTTCATTTTTTTCCGAAGTCGATCTAATCAGAAAACGATGGTTGATCTTCGTTGTTCTGAAATTGTCTGGTCTTAAGACGACCTTCAGTTTTAACGCAGTACACGAGAATTCTGACATAGTTTAGGTGAAAATGGGGTGAGATTTTGTCCGTTGTATGAGGAAACTCATTTTACTCAAAACGATGGAGGATATGTCTTGGACTGCATCAACACGTACGTCGTAGCAATGCCAGACGGCTGCAAAACAACAAGCATCAGCCATTTTATTCTGATGAGATCGAACTTGTCATTTACTTTCAAACAAAATGCGAATCTACACAACAATAAAATCCTAAACGATTCGTCCAAATTTCGTACATATGGTAGGTAAAATATCTGATAATCGTAGAGATAAGAGAAGCTACTAGACGACCTTATTTCGAATAAATGCATTTATACTGTAGCAAGGAAGATACAACAATTATCTTCCCCGAAGTCTGGTTGTGAGTCTTATTGAGTAAATGCTGTTTGGTCTTCAAGGAAAGGGAGTCGCTTGCTGAACGAAAGATCCTAACATAAAATCCACGAGAACAAATACTGAATCTTCTATTTGGGCATGTAACAAAACTCGATTTCGAAGAATCCTTAATAGCTTGCTGTTGGAGTACCTTTAATTTCGTTTGAAGAGGCAAGACGAATGGATTCGTAATTAAGGGGCTTGACTTGGAGCTGTGATTGTAGAGTTGTGAGAGTAGGTCCTCGACGCACCGCCTTACGACTCCGATAAATCTGTGTTGAGCTTTCGTCCGTCAAGTGACGGACATCCTCAGGGCAGGATACCAGGCCTAACGATAATTCACCAAAACACGAAGACAGGAACAGTGGCCTGCTTCAAACCTACCTAATTCTTATAGTTCAATCTTGATATGCCTATAT